CCAAGCCCCCCCCCCCAACAACTCCTGGGCTAAGCCCCGGATCTCCTACAATCCTAAATCCGCCACTGCCATCCAGTTATTTTAGCCGAGCCGGCTAAAATGATTGGTCGTGCTTTTTACAGTACTACGACATTTTTTTATGGATTTTTTGTCAAAGCACTTAAGATATTCATTGCTATCGGGATGTTAAGAGCATTCCATGGAATATAAAAAAAAGTGTATCTCGAGCCGGTTTCTCAAACTTACCTACCCCACCTTTAATGTGTCCTGGGACAGACAGCATTAAAAATTAACAATGTTGCAGACACAAAAACTAAACATAAATGAATACAGAGAATTATAATCATGAAAAATAAGTCATCAACACACTCAATCAAAACAACACAACAATGTGTCTCCCTGCAAGTCATCCAAAAGAGTCTCGATTTAGATTTATATCTAAATGAAACAAAAAAAGAGTGAGCAGCAAACTTAAATACAATTTTTCCCATTTCAGTCGTGGCTTTAGGAACATTAAGTAGGAATTACTCCTCGGAGTAAAGACAATACATTTCCATACGTTTCCAAAGGATGTTGATATAAAGGTAAGATTGCCTTACAAATAAGAATATGCCAATAATAATAATAATAATAACAAATTATATTTCTATAGCGCTTTTCTTGAACCCAAAGAAAATGCAGGCTATCCAACTCGACCATGCAAAGAACAATATTGTGCTTTCAGTCAACGTGTCAGATTCATCCAGAGAAAACAGAGGAGCTGCTTCTTAAATCCCACAGAAACCGCCTCAGCAGCTTTTACAGCAGCAACAGTATCTTCTCATCCCTGAAGCCAACAATACATTCCTTTATGTTCATGTCATTCGGACATCTAAAACTTTATGATCCTTCAGCACTCTTATGCCTGACTGCCTTTAATAAAATGTTGGCTATTGGTATGAGAGCAGTTCCAGCGGTGTCATCAAAAGATCTAATATTGTGCTTTTGTGCAGCTGTAGGCATCAAAGTATAACCACAGAATAACATAACAGGCCTCCCAACCTCTTGTGACCTTTTCTGTTGTTCCCCCTATTATTTTGTTTTAAACAGTTTATAGCGAGGGATGCTGTTTATCATGTTTAATCGCTGCCTGGAAGGGATTTCAATTCGAAACAGCTGCTGGCAGGGGGCCGGTTGTGTGGTGGCTTTGAAAATGTCCACATTTATTTTGCTGAGATTCGTTATTTTCAGGCAAGTTTGTACATAACTAAGGTTTCAGAAAGGAAAAACATTCTTCAAAATCATAGTATAAAAAACATCTATTAGCCTAAGTCAAGTTTAATTGATAGAGGAGTAAATATGTAAATGTCTGCCCTACAATCTTTGCTATGAAGAGCACTGTCCTTATCTGTGGTTAATGTTACTTCTAGCATCTTTAAGAAGAAGATCAATTGTAAATACAGTTGGTTAGATCTTAAACATTGCTTAATTTAACTTGGAAAACATGATGGGGAGGCCAAAGTACATTTTCCAGCACTGAGGATTATCTCCATACAACCCTGACTTCCTCCATTAATAAGCCTGCATGCGAGGATTTAGTTGAGCAATTATCAATGTTTTTAGTTTCAAACACATATTGGAACACAAACTGTAAAAGTTAGGGGTGGTATATTTTTCCTTTCTAACCTAATGTATGTACACACTTCATTGCACTTGATTGGATTACAAAATTAAACCTATCCCAGTCGTTATTGCTTGTAAAGTTACATTTATGTCAATTAATTCCTTCATAAATATCAGAGCATCATCACTTCTCTCTCTCTCCCTTTTCTCTTTCATCAGATTTATTCAAGTACAGGTTTGTGGACTGTAAACTACTCAACAGCACCTTCCTCCACAACAAAGAGGGCTGCATACTGGACTTCAGCGACGACTTCAACAATGCCTACATGATTTACTTTGTCAACTTCCTCGGCACGTTGGCGGTGTTGCCTGGCAACATCGTGTCAGCTCTTTTAATGGACAAAATTGGGCGTTTAAGGATGCTGGGTAAGACAATTTAATCAATGCAGATAATTCACTTTAGGCTATACAGGCTATTTAAGTTAATGTAATTCTCTTTCCTCTGTCTGTCTCTCTCTCATCAGCGGGATCCAGTGTCATATCTTGTATCAGCTGTTTCTTCCTGATGTTCGGCAACAGTGAGTCGGGGATGATCGCCCTCTTGTGCCTGTTTGGTGGCATCAGCATCGCCTCGTGGAATGCCCTGGATGTGATCACAGTGGAGCTCTACCCCTCGGACAAAAGGTAACATGATGGATGATGATGATGATGATGATGATGATGATGATGATGATGATGATGACGTCTTTTAAGGTTGATTCCCCGGTGTGAGCTTGTGGGGATTCAGAAAGAGACAGTTGTGGGAAATAACTAAGTACATTTACTCTGCAGTACACTTTTAAGGTGCTTTTACTTTACTTAAGTATTTCCGTTTTATGCTTCAGTGATTGGCCCTTTGAGATAAGTAATTTGAATGGCCCTTTGAAACAAGTTATCTGATTGGCCAATTGAAAGGAGACCTCTGATTGTCAAATTGAAACAGGCCCTCTGATTGGCTTATTAAAACAAAGCCTCTGGTAGAAACCAGATAAACCTTAAATGGGTTTTGAGATTTGGTGGTAGGCAGATTTAGTAGTGGTGAAAGTACACATATTTTGCCAAAATATTAAGATATTTCTTAAAAGTCCCTTTTAAATCCGGTTTGTAAACTTTATTTGGTTTAATCTTAATTGTACTTACTTAGATTAAGATCTCTTAAGGGTTGGTATAAACCAGATATCCTAACTGGAATGGCTCGTAAAAAGTCACTATGAAGAACAAGTTACCAAATCAAAGATTTGCATGGTCATGTTCAATTACATTTCATTAGTTTTCAGGTTAATGTGAAAAATACTTTTTCTGCAATACAATTTACCTTAAACTATACTTTTAGGTAAAATATGCTTTGATGACTCCCATTTTTGTAATAGTTGCATTTTTGTTGCATTGTGTTGAGAAACTATTCAATGTGGAGTCGATGTTGAACAACTTCGTCTGACAAATGTTGTCACACCACTGCAGCATGATTTCTGGTGTCTAATGTCTTATAGGTTGAGGACTACAACAACTATTATTACTAGCATTACAAGCGGAAATAAAATATTGTATATTTAAGATTTGGTGCTCACGTCAGTTCTTAAAGCCTCACTGTGATTGTGTTTCTCCCTCTCTGCTTTTTCAGGTGCACAGCGTTTGGCTTCCTGAACGCCCTCTGTAAGCTGGCGGCGGTCCTGGGCATCAGCATCTTCCAGTCATTCGTCGGCATCACCAAGGCCGTACCCATCATATTCGCTGCAGGCGCCCTCGCTGCAGGTAGTTTCCTTGCGACAAAGTTGCCTGAAACACGAGGCCAAGTGTTGCAGTAAAACAAATGACCAGCAGTTGGCAGCAGAGCACAGCTGGAGTGTGTGTTTGACAACAAAAGGCCCGAACATCCCAGAGAGCTGCCGCCACACACCAACAGAGCAGACTGCCATCCCCATTGTAAGCCCAGAATCCTTTGAAACACGGATTGCATCATTTAAAGTCTATAGAGCGATAAAGAGTAGAACACACATTCCTATGTCATAATAACACGTCTAAATCTGTATGATAACACTTTCAGCTGAGGACAGAAATGTTAAACGCAGAGATGAGACTGTAGAAAAAAGCCATTCATGGGGAACGTGAAAATATTTAGTCCATGAATGTGGTAGGTTTTCATATATGAATACAATGTTTTACTTTCCTGTCTGTCCGAGCAGCTTTCACACCAAGTACTTGGCATCAGTGACTGGTTTTCAGTGCTGCTTTTTCATATCACTGCTTGTACAATTTACTCCACATTTCCATTGAGGCTTTGATAGACGTGAGAAAGATCTCACAATGAATTTCAGGGCGATTATATTTCCTCTGAAATGGCCCATGACCCTTGATCACTGCCATCTAAAACCAGAACAGTTTTTACCAAATGATATAAAAACATTCCAGTGAGACTTCATTTATTCAGAAATCCTTATGCCTGCAGTCCTCGACTGAAAGGTGAAACGCAGACAGGCGAAGATGCATTTCACAGGATTCTTAGTTGTAAATGGGAATGGTTTGATCCAGCTCCTCTCGTGTTTTCCCCTCCCTGTTGTTGAACCATGCAGCTGTGGCAGTGTGATGTCTGCAACACAGAAACGCATTTTGGTCAAGTGCTTGATGTTGAGAGAAGATACTTCAGTGTAATTTTTGTAAATTAGTAGTGTGAGTGTGCATGTGTGTCGTTATGAAAGTGTTTCATGTGTTTCAGTGCAGCCATGGAGAGCATCTCTTACTGATCCAACAGCAGGATGTACGGAGCAGCAGTCACATCCATTTATATCAAATACAAGTCACGCAGTAGTTCAGGTGTGGTGAAATGTTTAGGCCACTTTTACAGCTGGTGTTAAGTTTAAGCAACAATTCACCAATTTATTGTACATGCTGGATAGTTCTCTTATTTAAAAAAATCCTTTTATTTGCCTTAATATGAAAACAAGTCATAAATGAATGGAAAAGTTTGTTCCATGGAAACACGAAATTGACAAAACTATAAATATTTTTGCTGAACGTTTAACCACAACTCTTTTCAGTAGTTATTGTCAGAATGAAACTCTGGAAAAGTAATGAAAAATGACCGTAATATAATTTTGTTATAACTGTATTTGGTTGTTTTATATTTTCCTGTATGACCTTAAACAAACAATGCAGTATCCTTCCCTAACTTGTGTTAACGCCCCAATGAGTCATGATGTGACTTCATTATTCTCATAAGCACAAATTAAACACATCTGAAGTCCTATTGATCAGACAGCATGGCACATAAGGGTCTAATTTCATTTTAAGGGCTTCTAATCCTGCCAGAATACATATGTGCCACAAAAAGTGAAATCCCTCACTGTGTTGCTACATGATTATGCTTAATCGAGAAGTACACAAATACACAAGACCATAGCTTATTGTGACTTTGTTCTAAATTGGACACAATTTCTCCAAAGTAAAGCTAACTGAGTACCATTATATATACATATCATTACTTAGTCGATCATTTCTCCAAAGGTGTACATCAACATGTGTGCTGACAATCAGTGAGTGTATGTAGGTGCTGCTGCCCAGTAGAGCATGTTGTTTGACCTGAAGACGTCCTCTGGATTGTGTGTGTGTGTGTGTGTGTGTGTGTGTGTGTGTGTGTGTGTGTGTGTGTGTGTGTGTGTGTGTGTGTGTGTAAGCTGACTCTAAATCGTCTGTCACATATTTTTCTACTTTTTTCTGTTGCGGTGTTTTCATCCCTGCGATGAATGCAGCTCAGTTGGGGACCATGAAAATATATTTACACTAAAGAGAAGAAAAAACAACAATATATGCAGTGTAGAATTGTATGTGCTGTTCTTCATGATAGACTCGGGTGCTCTTTTGCTGATTACAATTCAGTCTTTGAAAACCAACCCCATCAAAGATAGCCAGTCTAATAGATGTCTGTTCTCGGTTTAGAAATATGGAAAAGGATCAAATCTTAAACGAACAAAAACAACTTTGCCCTCTAATCCTTCTGTATTCAATCGTGACGCATGTTTGTATCGTATTGTCTCACTTCTTGAACGTCCTGTATGCCAGCTGTTTTTGTCTAAAGCAAGAACTAGTGTTTTCATTGTTGTATGATGACATAGATTTGTTGCTTGCAGTGATTGTTCTTAATCAAAGTGGGGTTTAAAATTGGTGAAACTTGAGTATGTGTTCTGAAAGTAAGTTAGTGGTGACTGTGCTCCTTGTTTACCTTAGACCCAGATAACTCTTTTTTTAAATAAATATATATATATATATAAATATGCCTAAAGTTCAGCAGAGAATGCTTGTAACTGCAGTTCATCTTGTCAAAGAGGTACAAGATATGGCCAGAAAATGGCAACATGCTTAGTGAGAATGGAGCCAGAATAAGTCCAATTCGACATTCACATGTTTGTCCATTTGAAACTATTTTGAAAAGCGGAATTGTGAGCAATAACGTGGAGGCTTTCACTAAATCTGAGGAAACAGAAAGTCTGTGTTAGATCCAAGAGGACCACCAAAAGATTTATCAACTCATCAAAAGAGCTCCCTCTGTCAAATTGAAGCTCCTTTCCAAAATGTTAAAGTTTACTATTTAATGTTACTATGTGTAGAATTTGCATTCTATATAAATATATATGTATAAACTATCAAAAGGGTCACTGGTTTGAGTTTTCTCTATGACGGCAGTGATATGGGATGTGTTAGCAAACACCTGCCTGAAGACTTCCATTAATGATGGCGGTCTGATAAAGGGGTGGAGGTCTTTTTATGGCATGGTTTCTGTTTCCTTTAGAGCACACGGATCAGTTCTGAATGAGTCCTGAAAAAAAAGGGCCAACTCATGCCAGAAAACAACTCCATCTGTAAAAGAACGGCAAGAATCCTTCACTGTAGTTTGGACTTTGGGAATTTATGTTTGTGTTTTCTTTAGTTTGACTCTGAGCTGTTTATTAAATGATAAAAGTTCTACTCTTAATGTGAGTTCAATTCTGAAAAATCAATGTACTGTGTGTAGAAACTGTAGATGTTTGTACGTGCAAGTTTGGAATTTGTGGAACAAAAGATCAATGAAAACAATTCCAAAAAAGTTCAATATGACACAAAAATCTATCGTGTGTTGTCTTTGTGTTTTGTAAATGAAGACTGAAAATCTTGGTACATTCAGTATTTATTACTTCTGGATATTGAGAATATTTTAGTGATGCTGAAAAGGTGCTGTATTTATTTTACGTGAGAGTTGTTCATTATTCCAGGATTGGCCCTTTATCCAGTTCTTTGAAGGAAATCATAATGGAAATAAAACCTGAAAGAAAACCCATTGTGAGTTTGCATTACACATGAAATCAACTCAAGTTTAAATCAGTAACACTTCAGCATTATCTCTACACCGACTACTTTATATAAGAGGTGCAGTTATGTGGTTGCTTTTCACTCCGATCCAGGAACAGTTTCAGTGTCTTGGCCAAGAAGACTTCAGGTGCTCCATCCACGGGAATGAGTCCTCAAGAACAAAGGTGTCTGGTTTAATCGCAATGCTTACAATACAATTTCTGCAGGTATGTGACAGAGGAGGCATGGCAACACTTTTTGCCATTTCCTCAGTCAAGGAAAGGATACAGTTACCCAAGTCCCAAGTCCTTAAAAGTTCCCCTATTATACAGTTTTATCAATATATTATAAGTCTCAGATATATCAGCCCCAAAAAACCCAAAATGGC